ATCTATCTATCTATCTATCTATCTATCTATCTATCTATCTATCTATCTATCTATCTATCTATCTATCTATCTATCTATCTATCTATCTATCTATCTATCTATCTATCACTAATTTTTGTGTCTACCTAACCGCTCTTCCATCCCATCCCTCCATCCATTCATCCATCCATCCATCCATTCAACCATCCATTCATCTACTTATCCATCAATCCATCCATCCATTCAAACATCCATCCATCCACTCATCCATCCATCCATCCATCCATCCATCCATCCATCTATCCATCCACTTATTCATCCATCCATCCATCCATCCATCCATCCATCCATCCATCCATCCATCCATCCATCCATCCATCCATCCATCCATCCACTTATCCATCCATCTATCTAGCGGATGTAAGCTTTGCACTAAAATGCTGTGTTATCTTTTTGCATCCTTTATTTTCATACACAAATCTGATGATATATGAGACTTAATTTTGAAGTCAGTTAATACAATCTATCTATAACACACCTCCTGTTAAAATGCACATTAAAAATCACCAGTAAAAGATTGAATGCATCGATTGCACAATGTTGATTCAAAGCGATACAACTTGCATAAATGGTTACAGTTTTTCTAAGTGGGTTTGGTGCATTTTTCACAACACTATTTACATTTGCACAACAGTTAATGCACTTCTCAAAACAATTAGTACAAACTGCAAAAGCTAGTTGATAAACTGCAAAAGCGTGTCACTTGCTTAAAATTGATAGCTCATTTCTCAAATATGAAAGTATTCATGTCAATGAAAGTGTCTGTGTCATCAAGCTGAAAAGTCCTGACACCATTGTTTATCAACACAAGAGTCAAATGGCTTTGTCATGTTTCTATTATGACAGTTTACTTTTTTTTCCAATGCAATAAAGTCAGATTTTGGTGACACGTCCTGAAAATGCTCAAAACAGCACTATATACTATTCGCACAGCCATTTGAAAACTACAGTAAAGTGAGACATCACTGCATTTAGTGAGGTATCTGAGTACAAGACACTGAATATGTATGTTTCACATTTTTCACAGCATTGTGCAAAAGAATAAGTGCACTCTTATTTACAACAAACATAAACTTTCTTTATGTAGAGCTGTGCACAACTGTAAACAATATGCAGTACAAATTAAAACTTAACCTACAACATACACACTGTAGGTCTGTAAATCATTCATGAAATTGTTTAAATTAGAAGACATTTTCAGGGAAAAAAATATTTTAAAATGTTTATAAAATTAGCTTGACAGATTTTGGCAACTAGTTCAAGATTTTTGTGTGCATTGACTCAAGTAATGAAATGAGGACTATTCGTTTTATATGAAATGACTCTTCATCATTAACTTGGTTCATTTTGACTGACATGACATAGGCAAATGATAATGTTTTAAAACAGCAGAGAGTTGAATAAAAGAAATTGATGCATGTCCAAAAGCATTTGCAATTTGTTGGAAGGAATAAGAAACCGCTATTGTGATGTGCACAAATGACTAATTGTTTTGAGAAATGCATTAACTGTTGTGCAAATGTAAATAGTGTTGTCGGGAATGCACCAAAGCCACTAAGAAAAAATGTAATATTATAAAAATGACACAGTAAAGACTGCATTTTGCTTTAAGGCAACAAACCATTTTTCCTTCACTGTCCAAGCACAACATATGGCAATAAATGTTATTAATATTGAAGGAATTACTTAGCAAAAACAATACAAGGCATTTTCTTGCTCACAGCCGGTTCAGGCAATCATTTTAAAATCTTGTTTCTGGCTATGTGTATTGTGTGGAGGATGCACTTTTCTTTGGCTCTGGAGAACTGCCGCAAAAGCAAATTTTCTTACTTTATAATGAGTAAATTTAATTTTAAAACTCTTGGAGTCACAGAAAGTTCTCTGTATATTATGAGCCATGGCTTTAAATGCATTTGTTGTTTAGAAGCACCATTATGTGAAATGGATATGGGGGCAGTGGATATAGATACAGCAGATGCAGCCACTATAGAGCACACTGAAGAACATAAACATTTTATTTATATCATATAGTTTCATATATTCCAACATTTTAATGCAAATCCTATATCTGGAATAGCAAAACGTCATATTCAGTGCATCACATGCTGAAAAAGTATGCCATATATATTGCAGTTAGTAGCATAAATGACTAAGGTACAGATTAATTTGACAGGCAAAACTATTATAAATCCAGCATTTCCAGTCTGACATTTTCAGAGATGGTAAAGAAACTCCTCCAATCACCCAAATGTGGGATTCTATGGCATATCTCACTGATTCTGCACTTAATACAGTTTACAGATTTTGTACTAATGAGAATTTTCAAGTCTAATTTCAGTGTCATTCATAAATACTGATGATGACTGCATCCAAAAACACCTTGATTTGATTTATGCTTTATACATCATGTATGTCAAAATAATTCAACAATCCATTCCATTAAACATGTTAACCAATTTGCCTACAAAAGATGCACATATCAGATTGAGGTACATGTACAAATTTACATTTGATGTAATGGGAAGAACTAACTATTCACAAAGCGCTAAACTTTTTAAATGTGTTAGAGACCAGATTAAGAAGCCCTTTGATGTCATTATCTGTCCTAGATGGGATAATTAAATCAAATGACAACAATGGCACTGTGTCTGAAGACGTTTTCACAGCTTTGTTGTCAGAGACCACGGACCAGCTTAGGTTAGTATGCCAGTTAGATTGGTGGGAAGTCTGTGACAGCACATAACTGTTCCAACCAAAGCAATAATATTGAAAGTGCCATTAGGATTCACTGAACTCACAGTAAAATTATTCTATTGAAATGCTCTTCTTAATTATTTTAGTTTTCAGTAGTGATTTGAAGATGATTTTTCATCATAAATGTCTAAACCCTTACTTTAGTCACAGAAGTAAATGAAATTCACTCCTTCTGCCATCCTGTGGCATAGAGATGCAATTTTACTTTAATTGCATTATCAGAAAAATATATAAACAATACTCCTGCACATGCACATCAAATAAACCAAAGACATACTCCAAACTCTGGCTAAACTAAACATATTAAATGTATTCATAAATGTAGTCAGTGTATGTTTTATTACTACTTAATAGGGGCTAATAAGGATAGCATTAACTGATCTCAAATTGGGTCTCATATAGCATCAGACTTGTGTTAGAAAATAAAGGATGCAAAAAGAAAACAGCATTTCACAAAGCTTACATCTGCTAGATAGATAGATAGATAGATAGATAGATAGATAGATAGATAGATAGATAGATGATAGATTAGATAGATAGATAGATAGATAGATAGATAGATAGATAGATAGATAGATAGATAGATAGATAGATAGATAGATAGATAGATAGATAGATTTTTAGTTTGAAATCCTCCACTGCGGTATTTTAAAGGACACTTCTGGCACTCATTCCCAGTCACCTTCACCTGCGTGGAGATCCCAGCAAGCTCCGCATACATTACAGTAGATTATGCGCAAAGATATCTACTATAAACTACACAGATATAACATGCACAATTTGAGAGATGTGTGGTAACTCTGTAGTTACGTTACCTGAGTATTTGAGGGGGAAAAGTAAGCATCAGGGTGACTGTGTTTCCGTAGATTCCCTGTTGTGCTGCTAATGATGCCTCTGCTCCAGTGATCTCACTGAGTACTGCGCTGCATGCACATGCGGCTCCTCAGAACAGTCTCAGGTGAAGCCAAGCCACGCCTCTCTGCGTAATATTCATGATCAGCCACGCCCCCACTGTGTTCTGTCGCAGTATCGGTTATCTGATGTATATATTTACAGCGATTTCAGATTTAATAAAGTTTTTTTTTCTTCTGAGGTTGCATTAGGGTTGAGCGTTCATGGGGCTGAGGGTTAAATGAGCGACTGTTGTGATAAGAACGCAACTGCTTCATTTGTATTGGTTGCCATCTAGAGGTTAGCATTAAAAATGCAACATGTAGGAGACACCAGGGCAATGGAAAGGAGGAAAATGGGAAATATATATATTTTTATATCTATACAATCATAATAATAAATATTTTAATATCTATGTAAAAATTAAATATAATCACTTTCATGCCTAAATTAACTTTTTTGTGTATAAAGACACAGTTAACAGGTTACTGTGGATAATTAACATTATTAATGAGTCTAAAATATTATTTGGAAGGTTTTTAGTTAGTTCTACTTGTTATAAACTTATTTAAAATGTATTAACTCGTTTTATAATCCTTTTTATTATACATTTGTCCAATTTGTTTTTTGTTTTAATAATTTCTTAATTTAATTTTATTTATTATTTATAATCAAACTAGTTATTAACTATAACTATTACAAAGTTATATATATATATATATATATATATATATATATATATATATATATATAATAAAATGTTTTTAAAACTACTACTAATTTATTTTTAATTATTACGTTTATGTTTTAACACACAATTTAAAGAATATATCAATTAAATTAAATTACTTAAATAACTATAAATAAATTACTATAAATAACTAAAAAAGAAATATACTAAGCAATCAATTTTATACAAAATATACTCCTCCGTGACTGAAAGTTGCCGCTTGCTCACGTCTGTTTTTAAAAGAAAATGTGCCAAATAATAGTGGAATGATGAATTTTCTCATTTGTCACACTAAAACTGTACTACAGTTTAAAGATGTGCAGTTTATAATCACGACAGTACAGTATTTGAGCGCGTGCCCGTCTGTTTGTGTGTATGAGCCTGAACGCGCACAGATGGCAGCGAGGAGGAGGGAAGACTCGTGACGTCACGGGCTTCCTCGTCCAACACATGACATGTTTCGATACAACCGTGAAACCTAGAATCGTTTATTGATCATCAGGTGACCGACGCTTTGACACCAGCTCCACATGGTAAGTGTTTTAACAGTCTAACCATATAAAACCACGGAATCCACTGATAGTATTGTGTTTCTATTGAGAGGAATCAGCTGGGTAAGTGTGTCTGTCTGTCTGCTGGCTGTGACTTGGTCCACGTCGCATTGCTTGATATGAAAGCGGATAGCCTGCTAGCAAGCAAGCTTAACTTACCACAGGATTAGTGGTAGTTAAGAGGTTATGGTGGGTTTAAATTGGCACGAATTGGGTCGAACTCATTGTTTGATGATATATTCATTATTTTTCTTTAACCATAATGTGATTCATCTGGTTAGATTTAGATACCCGGGATCATGTTGTTTAATTACTATGAGGAAAGTCGCTAATGTGAGCGGCTAGCATAAGACCTGTTAGAAAAACATGGTAATACCATGTCAGTTAGAATGGAGCAATTTATCAAAATTAAGACGAAATATTCGAGTTTGTTCATAAACGAATGTGTTTACGAGAATATTAAATGTAATATTAAAACGTTATCGTCGAGATAACTTTAGAAGTGATTCTGGCAGTTTCATTTCTCCCTTTAACGGTTCATTGTTTAGATGTTTGAATCAGTAAGATTTGATAACGTTATATATTTATTTATAAAGATCTGAATTATATTCACAGCTAGGTGTCAGATTTCCTCTAGTTGTTTAATGAAACTTTAGTGGTGGATTTTATTAGAAGCTGATAATGAGGTAAAGTTGGTTGTATGTTTGCACTTTCTCTTCAATAATAATATAATTTAAAAAAAGTATTCTTTGGAAATTGTAAGTACTGAAATCATATTAGCAGCCAACGACTATCAAAGTACATTGGTCACAGACAAATAAATAGTTTTAATGTTGTTTTCAAGTCTTTCTTGCTTGTGATTTCAAGCAGAATATTCAAAGTGCCATGGTAAACAATATAGGCAGCATGTACTGTAAGTCTGTAACAAGTTATCATTATACGAATGTGCAAATATAAAATCAACTTAACCTCAATGAAGCTGACCGAGTACTTGTTTTGATGCAGAAATGGTGTATTATGTCAAAGTGTTTTATCAGTGTAAAAGACTAAAACACATTTTATTAACTGATGTGATGAACTTTTGCAGCTTGTGTAAGAAGGAATTGAGGTAAAGTTGGTTTTATATACCCTCAGAAAAGTATACTTTGCAAATCCTAAATACTAAGATCATATTAGCAGCCAATGACTATCAAAGTACAACATTGTTCACAGTCAAATAAATAGCACTAATGTTGTTTTCAAGTCATGCTTGCATGGTAAACAATTTCGGGAGAGTTTCATAAGTTGTCACTCTATGATTGTGTGAAATATAAAACCAACTTTACATGTTTTAAGGAAAGGGGATAAAAAAGCAACAATGACTGTTAACAACTATGTTATGTTGGCCTCATTTTACCTATCTAAGCTCTAAAAAAATTGGGGATTTTAATATATACTGAAATATGTCATTATATATGTGCTATTGTATTTTAAATAATTCTAATCATACTTCTGACAAATCTAAAGGTTATTAATGACGCGCAAGTATGAATAATGACGCGTAATATAAAAATGTAAAATTATATTAATTAGTATGAGGTGTTAATTAGGATTTTGGGGTTCCACTGTGATCCTTAAATACAGTCTTTAAATTTGTCGTCAGATGTTTAGGATGTTGCATTTGCAGGAAAAACTTGAAGAAAAAATTCTCATGGAAACTATATGTTGACATTATATTAAAATCTGTTCATATTTTCCAAAACAACTAACCACAGAGTTATGGGATTAGAAAAATATCTATCTGATTCTGTAAACATTTTTTATATTTAAAATTAGGAAAATAAACATGCGCTATGGATGTGACCAAAAAAGTCTGCGAGTTTACGGTTCACAACATACTTTGTAGAAATTCTGTGAATTAAACTGCATAACCCAAAAAGAAACATAGCTATTTAAAAGGATAAGAGTTGGCTCTCTATAGAACAAAAATGATTCAATTTATTTTATTTGACATTTTTGCATTTATGAGGGAAAAGCTTCCATATGGATGTGATGTATGTGAAATTAGCACTTGTGTGACTTTGGTAAATCAAATATAATTGTTTGAAAAAATTGACAGAGACATTTATGTATTTTTACTGTAAAATTCAAGCCTACAAAAAAAACTTGTGTAAAAATAAAGGGTTTTACTATTTTGCTGAAAACGTTATTCATGGCAAGGTTGATATTTGCAAAGAAATTGCTCAAATATGCCTAACATTGTGGTATGTATATAAAGCTGTTAATCTTATAATCAAAATAGCTATTACTCTTGGCTTGCAAAAATAAGCAGGGCACAGGACAAACAACGTAAACGAAAGCTGTTATTGTTTTATAAAATATGTAATTAATAAATCATTATTGTTAATATTTAAAGACAACTGAGGGTCGCCTTTCCATTTCAAAATGAATGCATTTTCCTCTTCTTTTAAATAAGTTATTGCGACTATGAATTAATAAATATACATAAAAAGTGTTCACATGCAATGTTAAAGCCAAGAACAGCCACGAGACCTC